TCAATTATTAATGTTTTGAGTGAGGATTGGAGGACATCCTCGTTTTGTTTTTTTTTGTTCCTGCTTTTATCCAAGGCTTTTGGCAGTTTGGAGATGGAGGTTTTCGTGATGCAGAGAGAGTGGAGCCCTCAGTTCCAGGTTCCAGTTATGGTTTCAGAAACTTAAGTGTGATCATGTGAATTAAGGTAACATTTTGTTCAAATTTTAAACTAAAGACAGACATTTTTTTTATAAAATAATAATTGCTTTCGTTGACATTTAAAATTGTAAATTTTAGGTTTTGAGTAAAGCTGTCAATTTGTGTTTAGTTTTTTTTTGAAATTTAATGTTAATTTATGACAGCTCGTTTTAGTATTTTTGATGTTGATTTGTTTTGTTTTTTTTTTAAAAGGTTAACCTCCATGCAATTTTGTAAGTTTTGTAGCAATGGAGTTTGTTAATGGATGACACATGTAAGTTTTTGAATTTTGTATTTCTCCATGTAACTGTTTGTGGTGACACATAAATAAAGGTTAAATTTTGTTGTCTTAACTTTTTATTTATTTTTTTTGAGCTAACCCTTTTTGAGTTTATTTGAAAAAGATATGTTTTTTATGTTTTGATTTTGTTTTCTAATTATTTCCCTAGTTACAACTAGTGGTTGTAATAGGCATAATTAGGCACCTCAAGTGGCGCCCTATATTAAATTCCTTGAGGTGTTTCTTGTTTATTTTTATTTTGTTTATCCCAAGAGCCCTTTATTTCATTTTTTTGTAGTTGCCCCATTCCAATGCCCTTATCTTTTACTTATCCACGACCCCAGCTCTCCTACGAAACCCTGAGTGCCGTTCGCATCAGTAGCGATTATTTTGCTTGCCCTATCTCCACCCCCAATAGTTTTTCCCCCAATTTTCTATCTCCCGTATTAATGCCCCCTGTGGTAGGCAAAATAATTTCGTTACAACATATCCGATCAAGGATTTTTTGGGTCTTTTTTATAATGAACCTATAAACTTGCAGAAGTGTAATACATATAGCAGACTAAATTTGAATTATATTTCTATCTTCTCTTGCCAGAGGTTTAAAATTTCTAATGAGTTGGTTAACTGACTTGAATTGGTTGGTATATTCTTTCAACAGAGAATGCAGAGTTCTGCAAGATTTGTTCGTTATTTTTCACTATTGTAGTATAGCAAGAATCAAGCCAAAAATAGAATAACAAATAATTAGATATAGATCAACTTAGAAATCCTGAGATAAAAGCCAAGCTTACAAAAAGCATTAATAATAATATTGCCCTAACAGCCACTGCCAATGATATTGAAATATATTAGATCAACTTAACAAACACTATATGTAACGGTGCGAAAGAAGTGATTGGGTACTCTTGAGATTTTATAAGTTCATCACATACGATATATTACATCTTTTGGACAGTTCTTCTTTAGACAGAAAATTGTTAATCACAATAAAAATAGCCAAAATCGAACACATCGGTCACATAATGTGGAACAGCGTAAGATATGAGTTGTTGCAATTAATTCTGCAAAGAAAAGTAGAAGAAAAATGACAGACTTCATTCAACTCAACACAACCACAAATCTTTTCAGAGTAGCAGTGTGCACAGTACAGATTGCCATGATGATCGCCAACATTCGAAACAGATAGGCACTACAAGATGAAGAAAGACGAAGACTTCGACGACAGACGAAGAAAAAATAAAAATAACTCTTAAGATTGGTTTGATGACGAATGCCAAACAGTAGCAAAGAAAAAGAAAGAAATACGACAGCAACTATAAAAAGACGATTCGAAAAACAAAAAAAAGAGACAAACAACAAGTAGAAAAAACTCGAGAAAAAACTGAAAGACGACCTGAAAAAACTGAAGGATAAAAAAAACTCGAAAAAAAACTGAAAGATTTAGGAAAAATTTCAAAATAGCGGAAAGCATTATACTAGGAGCTCAAAAGGAGGAAAAAAGTTATCAACATTACTACAGTTATATTAAAGCCTAGGACAGATCCATAATAGGTTGACATATAGAAATAATGTAGTGTATAGAAATAATGTAGAAATAATAATAATAGAGTAGAAAGAATATTTCGAAGAACTATTGGACCGAGGTACAAGAGAGGCATCGGATATAAACTAGACAGCTTCTGTAGGCGATACAGCAGTGTGCCAACCTACAGAAAAATATATTAAGAGAATCACACGAGACGTGAAAATTAATTAAAGTCCGCATATAACCGGAATTTATATAGAAAAGATCAAATCAGGAAAAGAGAAATTACAACAGAAAAACAGATCAACATTAGATCACATATTTTCCTTTAAAAGAAATTTAATATTTATAAAAGTAACTGAAACTGAAGTTGCCATGCCGAGCCCATACAAAGACATCGTCTCAGGGTCAGCAACCCCTCAAAGTTGGGAGTCTTACGTTGCGAAGTTGCCATCACATCATATCAAGATTAGTAACCGCCAAAATTGGGAGTCTTAGGTTGCCATGCAGGGTATCAGTTCAGAAACTTCACATCACACCGAAAATATATATCTATATATATATATATATATAAATATATATATATATATATATATATATATATATATATATATATACTAGTATATATATATATATGTACACCAAACACCAACATTTGTAGGATCCGAACCTGACTAAATTCCGACGAGGCCACTGTTTTGTTTAAATGGTGCATTAATAAGCAAAATTGTCGTTATTGGGCAACAGAAAATCCCAATTGTACAATGAAAGTCTGTATCCAATATCCGCAAAAAGTAAATGTATGGACTGGGATTGTAAGGAATACCATTGTAGGACCGTATTTTTTTGACGGTACTGTGACGGGTGAAAGGTATTTAGAGATGTTGCAAACCTACATAGTTCCATTTTTAACCGCAAAATTTCCAGATATCAATAATCCTGGTCAAATAGATCCGACCATTTGGTTTCATAGGATGGAGCAAGTCCACGTTATGCTGTAGTGGTTAGAAATTTTCTAAATGCATTATTTTCCCAGTCACTGTATTGGACGACGTACGCGGCCACATTGAACAGCCTGCTAGGGTGCCAGAATTTAATCCCATGGACTTTTCTATTTGGGCTTATTTGAAAAGTAAGGTATATCTAAACCGACCTACCAATTGGGTAGACCTCAAATAGAGAATTCGTTCCGAAATGCACCAAATGACAATAGTAATATTGTCAAACATAACTCAAGAATTTTTGGACGTCTTGGAAATTAAACCAACGAACACAATTGGAGCATTTGTTGTAATTATCTTATTTGTTTGGCTTTAATTTGAAAATGACTTCTGAATTCTTAAAATTGAATTTTAAGAAATGCGAGCACTGGTTTCCTTTACACTCTATATACTGAAATTTGAATGTGATGTGGTACAGTTGTACTCAAAAAAATACGGTCTTTTTAATTTTTTAGATAATAATAATGTTCTTTCTATTTTAAAAACATATCTATGACGTTGCATCTGCTAAGGTAGTGAGGATTAAAGTTATTTTTTTCCAAAAAGGTTAAAAAACAAAAATAACAATCGACCTGTCAAAGCTTTAACTCTCAAAATAATTCAGTCACGAGATAATAGATCATCTTTACACGTTATGAATGCATTGTATAATGATTTTTGCGTAAAAAAAAATCATTTTTACAAAAGTTATTTCAAAATTATAAATGAAGAAAATTTTACATCTTTGGACATTTAATCACTAATTTTGAATAAACTGTTGGCTCAAATTAAGTAGCAAAGACAATTTTTTTGGACCTAAATAGTTTTCCTACACAATTAAATTATTACAAAAAAGAAGTTAACGAACATTTTATAAAAAAAGCGAAAAGGCGATTTTTGACATTTAATTTGAAACCTTTCCTAAGAAACAAATAAGAGAAGAAACGAAAAAGAAAGAAAGAAAGAAACGAAGAAAAAGAAAAAGTTTTCTTTTCTTCTAAAAATATGTCTTCAAAATGCTTCACTTTCAGCTGTTATAGACGAAAAAAGCAAAAATTTCCGTTTTTTTGACCTTAATTTGTTAATAACTAATTAAGTCCAAAAAATCGACAGCAGGAAACATATAGGTTTTTGTTACAGAGTTCCATACTACTCAAAACAACTGTCGTTTGCCTGGCCGGACGATTGTCAAAAACAGGGTACTTGTTTTACTTATTTCCCTGGCCTAATATATCTATTAAGGCATTCAATACCAAATCTAAAATGTCATTTAAATATTATTAGCATATTGATTTATACTAATATAATATAATTAAATATGTAATGAGAAACACTAGAGTTTGCTTCACCTAATACTAAATTTAGCTGTAGAATTTTCTAAAAACTAATTGACATGATTATTCTGGATAATTTCCTCGTATATAGTAATTGTGCCATCGAAACAATTTAGACCGTGCAAATATGTTTGCATTGAAAGATAGAAATTAATTTATTTTCAACAATTTAGTGATTGCTGGTAAACATCCAAATCAATGCAGTGATTAATTTAGTTCATAAAACACGTGGTTATTATTATTTGCATGAAGCAGAATAATAGGATGGGTATGATACAAGATGGCAATTAATTTGTTTATTATCATATAAATGTACCTAATTACAAATATTAATTCATACCAGTCAATTAATGAACCTCATTTGAGCTGAAGTTTGAATTTTAACGGCTGTCAAAATATGAAAATTTATGTCAAAAGGACTAGCTTGTTTTGTTAAAGCTTATCTACATACGTGTTTGTTTGAATGATGTTTAAAGCTATTTATTGATGATATCTTTAATTTATTATCGTACCTACATACGTACATATTCGTTGTAAGTTTTAAATTATAAAAGAAATTGCTTTTTTGTTATTAAAATATACTCAAATATATAAAAAAATAATAATATGGATACCTAGATTATTCTGTAAAGAGTGAGAAGTGTAGTGTGCTGGGTATTAGTGACAATATCCTAATAATATTCCCAAACATGGTCCAAACCTTGACACAAATCCAGAGGTCTAAGTCTGAGTTCCTCCTGCCGCTGGCATGCTTCCATCTTCATAGCGCAAAGTGACGAATAAATTCGAAGATCAGAAGCACAGACTGGACTTGAATAGGCGTTTGCACAGTTAAACTGGCACGTACATCTCGGGAAGTTATCAGGACCTACTTCACAAGTGGCCTCAAAATCGCACAGTATGTCTTTGCAAGCTTCTTTTTCTGAAGTAACACCGTCTAGTATAGAATTTCCGGTAAGCTGTGGCACTACTACTTCCAGATCTTGACCTGTCTTCTGATTAGTTCTTTGTTCCGTTAAATTAGGAAAGGTAGCTACAAAGTTAGTATACAATTCAAGCAGTGTTAGATGGGTTAGCTTTATAAAAAATATATAGAATACTACAAAATTATTAAAGTGAAAGTGTACTTACTGCTTAGGGAACCAGCAGAGGGAAATTTCTCCCTGCAATCTCCATAGAACACAACTGAAATTGGAGCACCTTTGGAACCTTTTGCACACCTTGCCTTTTGTAATTCGCATTCGTTGGGGTATGTCATCATATCTGAAGCACATACTGGCTCTTCACCTGCTTCTTCGCAATTTTTAGGACAAACGCATTCTCCGGCTTCACACCGGCCTTCGAATTTACACTGCACACCTTGACATAAATCTAAAAAATAAAAAATAAAGTACTACAAGAGTACATACATACATTTGAATTAAATATAAAATATTATTTAATATATATATATTATATATATATATATATATATATATATATATAATATATATATATATGCTGCTAACCCAATTAACTTACCATTATACATAATTAATAATTGGACAGCTGTGATCATTCTTCGTTCTTCGTTATATATATATATATATATATATATATATATATATATAATATATATAAATAATATATATATAATATATATAATATATATCGAACACCTCATCTTCCCTAAAGTGTGAGGTAAATACAATACAATAATACAATTACAGGTTACAGATATACATTACATCTCAAATCCAATGAAAATATTTATTCTATTAAATTTATTCTATTCTGTGCACGAATTTTGTCCATTCTTTCTTGTTTTTTGCCTTATTTTGAGCTTCTGACCATTCCAATCCCCTACTTTTCAAAATCTGCCCTACTTCGTCATCCCAGGTTTTCCGTGGTCTGCCTCTGGTTTTAAACCTTTTCACTTTAGCCTTCCAGACTTGCTTAACGGGTCGGTTGTCGCTCATTCGGCACAAATGACCAAACCATTTTATTTGTTGTGTTTCAATAGCATGTAGTACAGATTCTGTGCCCAGTTCTTCTCTAACATCTTCATTTCTTATTTTGTCTCGTCGTGTTATTCCTTTGACTCGTCTTAGATATTTCATATCAATGGCTTGTATCTTGCTTTTTAATTGCTTTGTTAAAACCCAGCTCTCGCTTCCATATATCAAGATTGGTCGGAATACTGTCTTATAAACTGTCATTTTGGTTCTTCTGCTGATTTCCGGTTTACCTATGAATGCTCTACTAAGATTATGGTACACTTTTGAAGCACTACTTATTCTTTCTGTTATTTCATTCTGCATGGTACCTTCTCTGTCTATTGTAACCCCTAGGTATTTGAATGCATCTACTTGTTCTATGAGTTGTTGGTTAATTTCTATGTTAACATTTCGGTTAGTTTTCGCTATTAGCATCACCTTGGTTTTCTTAACATTAATCTTCATGTTTCTGATTGCCAGCTCATTATTCCAGCTATCTATATTTTTCTGGAGGTCCCTTTCGTTGGAAGCGCATAACATGAGATCATCTGCGAATGCACACTCAGCTATACCAACCGGTCGTAGTTTACTATATCCGATATGTACTTTGTGTATACTTGCTTTTGTTTCCTTAATTATGTCGTCAATAATCAATATGAATAGTGTGGGGCTCATAACACCTCCTTGTCTCAGACCCTCGTTTATTGCAAACATCTCTGATTCCAAGTTATCCTTACGTACATAACTCTTGTTATTTTGATACAGACTTTTGATAGCACCTGTTAGTTGATGGTCAATATTTCTATTTTGCAGACTTTTCCAGACTGCTTCCTGGGACACTCTGTCAAATGCTTTCTCAATATCTAGAAAAGCCATATATATTTCTGTGTTCTTTATTCTAGCTTTCTCAATTATTTGTTTCAACGTAAATATATGGTCTTGCGTACTGTGTCCCTTCCTAAACCCACTTTGTACTTCATCCAGATGTGGTTCAACGATATGTCTTAATTTCTTTTCTAGGATGCTTTCATATATTTTGGAGACGATACTAAGTAGATTAATTCCTCTATAATTTTCACAAGAACTTGGGTCTCCTTTCTTAAAGATTGGTAGTATTATGCCAATTCTCCAATCTTCGGGGACTGTACATCGGTTCCAAGCCATGTTCATAATTTTGGTTAAAAATTCAACTCCTTTCGGTCCCATTGACTTTAACATTTCTGCAGTGATTTTGTCATGACCAGCCGATTTACCTCTCTTTGTGTTGTTAATTGCTTCTTTAACTTCTTCTATTTGAATATAATTTTCTTGTCCATGTTCTCCTTCTACTTCTATCATTACAGTTTCCTCTTTCGGCTGTCTTGGTGTTAGGAGTTCGCTGAAGTATTGTCTCCATCTTTCCATAATCTCATTTGGTCTGGTAATCAGTGTGCCGTCTTTACGTTTCACCTGTTTCATCGTTGTTTCTTTACCTTTTCTTAGCGTCTTTAGTGCCTTGTAAAACAATTTTTGGTTACCCCGGCTATCTGCCTCCATCTTCATTCCAAACTCATCCCAGGCTTCCTTCTTCTTCTTCAGCACCATTTCTTTCACCACCTTTCTTTGTCGTTTATATTCTTCGTAACTATTTTCTGTTCTCTTGTTTAAATATATTTTCCATTTCTGTTTTTTATATTTTATTTGGGCTTTTAATTCATCGTCCCACCATCGTGTTTGCTTCTTATTTCTGTTTACATGGTTTATTCCACACGTTTCTTTTGCTGTCGTCACGATGGTTTCTTTAAATTGTTTCCAAATTTCTTGTAAGTTGTCAGTACTATGTGCATTAGTTAATTTGGCTAGTTTTTCTTCTATTTTACTTTTGAACATACAAATTTTGTTTAAATTCATACAAATCAAAATTAGGTGAATTCATACTAATTTACAGTGGAGTAGCAAAAGAAAACTGGCCAAAGAACTTAATATACCAAAATAACCAAAATCACATCAAAGAGTGTCAATACATATCAGAAAGAATAGTAACAGCAAAGTAGGAGAATGAAGAAGGAAGACCTGAACATCATCGGAGTATACGGCCTAGAAAATAACAAGCCTTAAACAATAAGGGAAGCGTTTTATGACCAATTACAACACGTAGTAGATCAAGTCAGAGGAAAGATAGTAATATTGGAGGATTTTAACGCTCGAATAGTCAATCAAGTAATACCCGGCATTAACAAAAACATAACGGAGAATGTTAAAAATGAAAATGGAGAACTGATGATAAACTTCTGCACGAATAACGAAACTAAGAAAACACCACATTTTTTGACCACAAAGACCAACACAAATATACATTTAATAACACCCGTGGACAAAGATCTATGATAGATTATGTTATAACCAACAGAGATATACATCCATCGAAAATAATCGACGTAAGATGCCTCAACTCAGCAGATGTAGGTAGCGACCATAGCTAGTATTATGTAAAATAAGAATCATCCTGAAATACTTCCACCAAGAGAGCGGGCCAACACAAACAAAAATCAAAGTCGAAGGATAAATACGGAATCCACGGAATACTTATACAGAAAAAGAGCATCAGAGAAGATCACTAGGAATGAAATATCAGAAAACGATAACGTCGAGGAAAGCTGGGAAAAACTTAAAAATAACATAACTAACGCAGCAACAGAATCACTGGAGAGAGGAAAGTAACGAACTCTAACATATCAAAAGAAAAACACCATGGTTTAAAGGAAGTGAAGACAAAATGTAAGAAAAGAAGAAAGCCTTTTTACAATACAGAACACAACAAACACAACATGCTACATGCATTGAGTTTCTTCTTTTTCTGTTATATCCTAAGCTTTTCAGTGGCAAATTGTTTATTTTGATGTTTGCTGATTATCTGAAAATATGGAACATATGAAAAAACTGAAATCAATTGAGTCTGTGAGTGTACAGAAGATTATAAAATATCGTGGACAGAACACATCACAAACAAAGAAGTTCTTGGAGATGAATAAAGAAATGGAAATTTTAAATACAATTAAAACAAGAAAATTAGAATATCTCGGACATATTACACGTGGAGAGAAATACACCTTGCTCCAACTGATTATGCAGGGAAAGATCCAAGGAAAGAGAAGCATAGGGAGGCGTAGAATGTCATGGCTGCGCAACCTGAGAGAGTGGTACGGATGTACATCAAATGAACTTTTTAGAGCAGCCGTCTCAAAATCCGAATAGCTATGATGATTGCCGACCTCCGCCGCGAGATGGCACTTGAAGAAGAATGAAGTGATTTTCTATTTCTTCCAGTTTCCTGGGTATAAGCTACTGCAATCTTTTCTCATAGAGCTTGAATTCAATGATTCTTTGGCATTTGGATTTTTTATTTTATTGTTAGATGCTTCTCCGTTTGGCCAGTTTTTCTGGTCTGCAAACATTACTCCTCTTCCTTCTTCACGCCTGTGTTCGTCCACTGCTGGACATAGGCCTCTTCCATTTGCTTCCATCGATTTCTACTTTTGGCAATTCTCATCCACTGCTTGCCCGCGACTTGTTTGATATCGTCTGTCCACCTCTTCTGCGGTCTGCCTACTCCTCGCCTGTTCTCTCTTGGTCTCCAGTTTGTTAATCTTTGTGTCCATTTTTCGGGATTATCTCGGGCAACGTGTCCGACCCATTGCCACTTGAGCCTTGCAATACGTTCTGAGACATCAGTAATTTTTGTTCTTTCACGAATGACGTTATTTCGAATCCTGTCTCTCAAACTAATCCCTAGCATGGCCCTCTCCATTGCTCTTTGGGTTGTACTGAGCTGCTCTAAGGTTTTCTTTGTGAAGGCCATGGTCTCCAGTCCATATGTAGTTACAGGCAAGATACATTTGTCATAAACTCTACGTTTTAGACACATTGGTATATCTTTATTCTTCAAAATAAAGCTTAATTTGCCGAAAGCTCCCCAAGACAGTTGTATGCGTCTTTTTATTTCGGCTATTTGATTTTCTTTGCCGATTTTAATGGTATGTCCAAGATATATATAGTGGTCTACATTTTCAAGACTGACGTTGTCAATAACAAGATTAGTTTGTAAATTACTCATTATTTTTGTTTTCTGAAGGTTCATTTTGAGACCTATTTTATTTGACTGCTGGTTTAATTCCTTCAACATTTGCTCCAGTTCCTTGATATCTGTACTAAATAATACTATGTCATCCGCAAACCTCAAATGACTCAAACGTACACCATCAATGTTTAGACCTTTTTCCTCCCAGTCAAGCTGTTTGAATACATTTTCCAATGCTAAGGTAAAAAGCTTTGGTGAAATAGTATCACCTTGTCTAATACCTTTATCAAGGCGCATTTTTTCAGTTTTTTCGTCTTCATTGATTTTGATGTGGAATGTGGCCTGTTCATAAATGTTTTTAATGAGTGTAGTGTACCGTGAGTCTATTCGAGCATCCTTCAGGGCTGACAAAAAGGACCAAGTCTCAATACTATCGAAAGCCTTGTGAAAGTCGATAAATGCCATATGTAAAGGTACATTATATTCTGTGGTTTTTTCTACTAGTGTTCTGATGGTTTGTAAGTGATCATTAGCACCAAACCCTTTTCTAAATCCCGCCTGTTCAACCGGTTGATATAAATCAAGTTTTTGTGTTATGCGGTTGGTTATTATTCTTGTTAACAATTTGTATAAGTGTGACAACAAACTTATAGGTCTGTAGTTTTCAATATTAGTAGTGTCTCCTTTCTTGTGTAAAAGTATTATTTCGGCGTTTTCCCATAGGCTGGGTATTCTTTTTTCTGTTAGACACTTATTCAGTAAGACTTCCACAACTTCTACAACGATGTTGCCGCCCATTTTTAACATTTCAGACGTTATACGATCCTCGCCAGGAGCTTTTTTGTTTTTCATTTGCTGTAAGGCATGTCTAATTTCCGAAGAGGTTATTTTAGGGAGGGTTTCCGAGCCGACGTTTAGAATTGTTCTGTGGTCTGTTTCGGGGTTCTGTATAGTAGATGTATAAAGATTCTTATAGAACGTTTGTATTTCCTTGATTATTTGAGTTTTTTCGGTCACCGTATTCCCCTGTTGATTTTTGATTTTAGTTATCTTTGATTTTCCTTTAGTTAAATTTGATTTCAATACTCTCATGTTTCTATTGTTTTCGATGGTTTGCAATATTTGTTTTGTTTTATAAGCCCGCAAGTCTGACCTTATGCTCTTTTTAACTTTATTGTTGATAGCTTTATACTCTGGTAATTCTTTCGATGTTCTTCTTCTTTCTTCCATTAAATTAAGTGTTGTTTGTTTCAGTTTCGTTTTTCTGGGATTTTTATTTTTATCACAGATCTTTTTTGCAGTTGATGTTATGTCATTCGTTAATTTTTGTGTTATTTCATTTATATCTTTCGTGTTGAATACTGGTAGAGGTCCTAGTTTCTTTTTTAGTTCACTTTGATATTCCTCTTGATTCATTTCGAGTGCTTCTATGTTTGGCAATTTATCCTGTGTTAATAATTTTCTTCTATCTAATTTCGTATTTATTTCTATTCGCGTCCTAACTAATCGATGATCACTACCAGTGTTGAAAGAATTTAGTACAGTAAGATCTTTAGCAATGTTTTTGAAGTTAGAGAGTATAAAGTCAATTTCATTTTTTACTTTGCCATCTGGGCTTAACCACGTCCATTTTCTCTGCATCTTTTTCTTGTAGAAGGTATTTAAGCAGAATAGTTTTTCTTTGCTGAGGAAATTTACGAGCATATCTCCCCTGTGATTTCTACTTCCCAGTCCAAAATTTCCAATATATTCGTTGTCGTTGTTATTTTCGTTCTTTCCTATTTTAGCGTTGAAATCTCCCGTAATTATTACGTAATATGTGTTCTCTAGGTTTCTGGCTCTTGTAATGTCTTCATAACGTTGTAACCTCTTCATCAATCTGCAGAAGAAGTTGGTGCATAACAGTGGATTATTTGAATGCTGTATCTACGATTTAGTTTTATTACCATATAGATAACTCTATTAGACTTGGAATTTGGTTACCATGTTTTCAATTCTCTTATGTACTAAAAAACATTACTCTCATTTCTTTAATAGCCTAATTTTTTGTACAAATTTGTTTATTATATAACAATTTTCTGCTCCATATGTCACTGTAGGTCTATATATTGTTTGTATTGTCATCTTGGTCTTTGTTAATATTTCTTGTTATTAAGGAATCCTCTATTTAGTGTTTGAAATATGTTTTCCTGTGTTTTCCACTCTGTTGTTCAGATCGTCCTCGATGTCTCTTTGTTCTGTGATTACTGTTCCTAAGTATATGTATGAATTCGTTTGTATTATTTTTTGTTGGTCTATCATTACTTTTATTTGATCTTTCCGTCCCTTGTTTTCTTGATATTTACATTATCTGAGTCTTCTCTTTGTTTACGCTTAAGTGTATTTGCTTTGCTTCTAGGTTCCATTTCTTTAAGTTGTATTTCAGTTTTTCTGCTGTTTCTGCAATTAATACTATGTCCGTCTGCAAAATATACACATCTCAGCATTTATCATTTTGCATTCTGTTTCAAACCGATGCAGTATTTATTAAATGTTTTCTTACATTCTTTCCACTATCTCATCTATTACAGTTATGAATATCACTGGGCTGAGAGACTTCGCCCCTTGTTTAACTTCTTGAAATTGTTTCAATTGGTTCTTTTCAAGTTTTCAAGTTTCAAGTCTTTTCTTTTTTGTTTGTTTAATTCTTCTGTTAAAATTCTTACCACCCAAAGTTTATTCAGATTCAGACTATTGACAAACCAGAGTGTTGGCAAACAATTGGCAACATTGTATGTAGACCAGTGGTAAGTACCTATTATTTAATTTAATTTTTTGTTTGAATAGAAATATTTTCTGTTGATTTGTGGCATTTTCTTTTCAAATTTTCATAACTGTTTTTATAATAAACAATACTATTGTTTTACTATTTGCTTATATAATAATGTATATATTTAATAATATTTATATCAAGCAAAGTTTGACTAAACAACATACAGAACATATAGTTATTTTAAAATTAACCTGTTTAGAGAATACTAAATTGATTTTTAACAAAAATAGACTGTTTATAAAAAGATCCTCAATTTTTTTAATAACAGTTTAATCTCCAGCTCTAATAATACCACTACACACTGTATGCACATTCGACACTCCTTTTATCGATTAATGGCTTTATTGCTAATAAAAAATTTTGTTGGATTATTAACTTACCACAATTTCCTTTGTAGGCTAATATTATGTATTGCTTTGTTTTGCACGAAGCCTGTCGAAGCTCACATTCACTTGAATAAGTAATACCATCAGTTCCACAAACTGTTCCATTATTTAACTGAAACAATGAAAAACATTAGTACCAAATAATTAAATAAGACTGATTCAACATTTTTTAGCATACCATTTTTTTTAAATTAAGTAGTTATATTTAGACTATCTGCGCCAGTGTTTTAATTGTGCGATTAACTGAATTGAGTCCAGAAAAATAAGGTAAAAAGTACTCTGTTGAAGGCTTTGACCCGCTCAGGTATCTGAAAAGTTTTTTGAATATTTATGGACCTCGATAACCAAAACCTCTACGTAAAAAAAATAAAGCATTTTTAACGAATTTTAAGGTAAGTATCTGATAAAATACATTTAAATCTTTAAAATGGTCATTTTTACAAGTTGATTCACTAATTTGTTGGTTAGAAAACTGTCTTACCTCCCGACTATAAAAAGTAATAAAGTATTATCCAGTAATTTACTTTTTAGATAATGTTCTTTGCGGTTAAACAACCCTTGATTTACCTTTTGTTACACAATTTTTTTGGGAAATCAAATTTGCAGTAGGTGTTATCCAAAACGATAACGTTTTCTTTCTCTCTATCAATCATTGTACATTCTCGATAGGATAGGGTAAGGATTTTTATTTCGAAAGGATGAGAATATTTGTACCCGTTTAGGGTCGGTTGACCCTCTTCAGGCTTGAGTTGAATTTGATGTATGGCTGTACAAAGGCAAACACACCCAAAAAGTCACTGGCGGGTCAGCTTCTTCTTCTTCTGTTGGATTTGCACCTTTCTTCGCCTGGAGGAGTTTTTATCGACAATCAGAGAACCAGAGAACCAGAGAGAAAGGCTTTGTTGGAATGGTGTTCTTTCCAGATGGTCGTGTGTGTTTTTAGAGCTAGATGCGACAAGGCCGGGTCTCTAGTGACCATTGGTCCTGTGCAGTCTCGAGCTTAACCCGGCCCCGAAACCAGTGTATTGCACTGAAATTTCGTGGACGAGTGTGCTCGTGAGTGGAGGCGCCTCGGCTTTCGAGAGTCGGCTTGCGCATTTTGCTCAGTGTGAATGTGTGTGTGTAAATCCAACAGTGACGGACGCTACCATTTCGTTGTTACTGACTCCTCGAATCACTTAGATTTTCCCGGCCGACCGACTAACGGAGGCTGCAGGCGGTCGGGGTCCCGGTGATGAGGGTGCATCGGTAGCAGAAAGAGGACCCCTTTCACTGCTGGATTTGTGTGAGTGTGATATGTGTGTAGTGTGAATGTGTGTGTTCTGACTCGGCTAGTAACTAAAACCGTGTTCTCTAGTAACCATTGTTCCTGCAGCCGTTTATGCGCTCGCAAACAACACAGAACTAGTGTATTGCACTAAAATTCTGTAGTTGTTTGCTCGCGCTAACGGCCAGGCCTCGTCGGAGTTCGATAGACGGCTCCAGCAACTGCCGATTCAGGTGAGAAAATCTCTTCTTCTAGTTCCTATCCGTTTCGGATGTTGGAAATCATATTGGCAATCATAACCTTGCTCGCTGCGGCTCGAAACAGCTCCGTTGAGGTTTTCTTAAACCATGTTCTTAAATTCCGCAGCCATGATATTCTCCTTCTACCGGGTCCTCGCTTACCTTTGACTTTACCTTGCAATATAGACTGTAGCAGGGAGTAACGGTGCTGATTTCTCATAACGTGTCCCAGATATTGCAATTTTATGCGTTTGATCGTAAACACAATCTCTGGTTCCTTCTTCATTTTTCCTAGAACTTCCTTGTTCGTGATCCTTGCTGTCCATGATATTCTCAGCATTCTTCTATAAAGCCACATCTCAAATGCTTCAAGTTTTTTAATAGTGGCGTCTGTAAGCGTCCATGCCTCCGCCCCGTACAACAACACAGAGAAAACATAGCATCTCAAATGTCTCATTTTTGTATCAAGGGATATGTTGTGACTTTTGAAGATGGCGCTCATTTTGTTAAAGACCGTTCTTGCCTTTCCTATGCGGCACTTTATTTCCTGTAAATTGCTCCACTGTTCGTTAATAATAGTTCCCAGGTAACAATACTGTTTTACTCGCTCTATCTGCGTCCCATTAATGTATATATGAGCCCCATTTATATTCTCCTTGCTGATAATCATTTGTTTCGTTTTGTGGGTATTAATGTTTAGTCCGTACTGTTGACTGTACTCGTTTATTCTGTCCATTAGCCTCTGAAGTCCCTCTAAACTATCTGCTATCACCATGGTGTCGTCGGCATATCTAACATTGTTTACTCTTTCACCATTTAGAAGGATGCCTTCGTCTATTCCGTAAAGAGCCTCGTTAAAAATTTTCTCTGAGTACATATTAAATATCAACGGCGATAGGATACATCCCTGTCTAACTCCACGTAGTATTTTTATGTGATCTGTTTCTTCTCCGTTAATTTTCATGTATGCGGTCTGATTCCAGTAGAGTTCTGAAATTATTCTGAGGTCTTTGTCATCCAGGTCTGCCTCTTTTAAAATGTTTATCATCTTTTGATGTTGAACTCTGTCAAATGCCTTTTCGTAGTCGATCAAGCACGCGTATACGTCGCAGTTAACGTCCCTGCATCTTTGAATCAGTACCTGTACTCCAAAAAGTGCCTCTCTGGTACCCACTGCGTTAATGAAGCCGAACTGTCTGTCCGATATTTGTTCCTCGCACTTCTTATAAATTCTTCCATGGATGACTCTAAGAAACAGTTTCAACATGTGGCTCATTAGGCTGATTGTTCGATATTCTTCGCACTTTTTAGCCCCCTGTTTTTTAGGTATCGCTATGAATTCTGATTCTAGCCATTTATCAGGGATGATTCCTGTATTGTAAATTTTATTGAAGACAGCCGTGATCCAAATTATTCCTTCTTCCTCCAAGAGTTTTAAAAATTCAGCTTCGATATTATCAGGCCCTACAGCTTTCCTGCTTTTCATCCGTTTTATTGCTTCTTCTACCTCGGATTTAAGTATGTCCGGGCCCGTCATCCTCTCTGAAAATGGATGCCTATAATCCGTTCTTTGGTCTTGAAAAAGTGTCTCCAAATATATTCTCCATCTGTCTTTCATCTCTTGGGTGTCAATGATTAATTTTCCATTGGTGTCTATGAGTTTCATTTGTGTTCGCTTTTTAAAAGTACCCGTTATTTCTTTTACCTTTTTGTGTACATTAAAATTGTCATGCTTGGCTTGTAGTCTTTCTATTTCTTTACATTTCTCTACAGCTTCTTTTTCTTTAGCTTCTCTTATTTTTCTTCTGATGTAAGCCTGCATTTTTTTATACTCATCTTTATTTCCTTTAATTAACCTTCTGCGTTCCATTAAATGAAGGATTTCTGGAGTCATCCAAGATTTCTTCTTTGTTTCGTTGTTTGGTTTTAGCAGATCTTGTTTAGTTTTCAGGTGAGAAAATAGTTGCGGCTATTTTCTCAGGGATTGACAGGTATCGTTGAGTAATGAGAATGGGAAACCGCAAAAAGCCAGTCTCTCCCTATCCGGGGTAGGGAATGGGATAGGCAAGAACTAGGTTCGGCGAAAGGCTAGTGGAGTGGCCTCAAGAATGTCGTAGTATTCTGCCGGAAGTTCGTCGATGCATGTTTGCATCAGAATTGAGGGAATGTGCAGGAAGTTTTTAAAGTGTTTTGGGTGTTAAACGGGGTGCCGTTGATGGTTGGGAGAGTAAAGTTCCTGTTGAGAGTTTTTATGTTCTCGAGAATAGAGGTGGTGTCGGCCGTTTGATAGATTTCTAGGAGAAGTGCCATCGTTTTCTGCACGTTCTACATAGAATTCTACGCTCCGCAGAGAGCAGCTTCCTCCTTTGATAGCCCTTGAGAAGGCAATATAAGTGTGCCTTATACTCAATAACGGGTCGAATGAAGGTTTTATAAGTATGTATGAGAGTTTTGTTGTTCGTTTTACCAAAAGTTCCTTAAAGTGGTACTAGGAGACGCGCTCTGTTTCTGACCCTATCTAAAGTTGCCTTTAGATCAGTTTCCCAATTAAGCGTTTTAGTGAATAAAATGCCCAAGTAGGAAGCTGCCGGGCTAGTTACGAGCCTTTCTCCCATCAAATAAAGGGTTGTTTGGTCATCGCTATTGCGTATGAGCCACGACAATGTTTTAGGGCTTTGCAGCGTTTAGTTAACTCTCCACTTATTGCACCATTCTTCGATACCGTTTAAAAGAGTTTGTGCTCTTTTAAAGATTCTCTCAGGAAAATAATCGCTCCCTGTTGTTAGGAGGGATGTACAGATGGGTGTGAGGTAGATTTGGAGTGGGTATAGAACTGTGGTATAGATTTTTAAAGGCAAAATAGAGGGCCGTAGAGGTGTAGGAAGAAAACAAGTTTCTTGGTTAAAAAACATTCGTGAATGGACTCAGATACCAAATGCAGGACAATTATTCCATATTACAGAAGATCGAGAAGCCTTCGCAACGGTGATGGTCAACGTCGGATAAATCTGATATGGCACGCGAAGAAGAAGATTGACCTGTTGTATGTGATGTACAACAGGGGTGAAAGCACTGATCCTTGTGGAACTCCCGGTCGTGGAGTAAATGGGGTTGATAGTTGATCGCTTATTCTCACTTTCACCGATCTATTTGTAAGATAGGAGTGAATGATTTTGATGAATTGAAGTGGGAGCCTGATGTCAATTAGCCTCCGAACAAGTCCTTAATGCCAGACTTGATCAAAAGCCTTTTGTACATCGAGAAAAGTGGCGATGGCGATGCTGTTGCCGTTTTGTCTTTCTCTTTCGGCAAGTTTAAAATTAACGTCCCTTGTCTAGGGTTACGGATGAAGTCCATAACGGCAGCCACGGCGGAGAAGCAAAACTTCGGTACGGTGGGCCAACGGTTTCGGGCGGAGGAGCTGGTAGATGTAAGGGCACTCTTTTGTCCTGAGATAGAGAAATCTATCTCAAAGGCGGATAAATCAAGGAATGGTCAACGGCATAAGGATGCAGAAGGCAACGAAAACCACTGCATTAAAGACCCCTAGAAATCGTCATGGCAGTTAGTGACAAGCATCGACGTACTAATCATGGTTCTCGGATG